AAAAAAAAAAAAAATAAAAATAAAATAAAATAAAAAATAAAAGAAGCCTGAATCCGTACATGCGGCCGGCCCTCAGTGTCAGCCGGCATTGTAATGAATTCCTCTGTCCCATTGCATGTCCTACGCGTAATCCCCCTTAGCACCGGATGTCCAGGACAAACTATTCGAAACCGCTCAGCGAGGTCCTCCAGGAGTGGCATGCGCGGGTTTTGTCTTAGGGTTCAGAGTTGATGGTTTGGGGTTTGGGGTTTGAGGAAGGCTTTTGGGCTGTGCTACAACAGAGCTTCCACTTCTTTAAATTCTGAATGCATACCCCAGGCCGGGCCAAGCCTCGGAAATCTGCATGCGCATCCCGCAGCAAAGTAACAAAAAACTGCCAACACCCTGAAGCCCTGAAGCCGAATCCTAAAATGTGACACATGATTCCAAAGGCTGAGTTGATAGTTGGTGACCATCAGACTTTGTTTTTTGTGAAGCCGCACATCATTGTCATTGCAGGTGACATTTGGCTGGCAAGAGGGGCCAGCGGGTGAAACTCAAAGCAACACCCACCGATGCGCCAATCACAACCGCCACCTGGCCTCCAAGTATTGGAGCGTCATCTGTGTGAGTCGACCCATGCAGCATGCAATGCTGGCCAGAACAGCCGAAAAGGAACAGATCATTGGCATCATCAGGAGTGCAGTGCTGGACATCATGCATCCTGAGTGTTTTCCGCCTAACAAATACACGCACCCGTTATGACAGAGCTTCTCTGAATATGACGGAGCACCCACCGCCAGGAGTTTGCAGACTTCTCTTCGCGAGGCCCCTCGGCGTTCGATTTGTTCAAGCCCTGGCGACGAAGAGTGTGAAGCGTCCTCCGTCCACGGCCAGGTTTGTAGCTTCAGATATTGGGTTCGGCGTGGTACGACAATTCCATGGAGTGTACCTCCAGGTTTTAGTATTCTGTGCATCTAGGCCTCCTACACGGTCCTACACTATGCCCGTAGGCCTGGCCTGTGCGGGACTTTGTTGGTACTGGTCTTGACATCGGCTGCACCTTTCCCCGGATTTACTTGCAGATGTTGCGTGCTGTTATAGGCGAAGCAAGTTGCGCGTCGGTGCAGACGGGGGGCCGCGCACAACCTCTAGCCCCCAGCCTTTACCCCTCTTAACCATAAACCCTGAACCCGAAGCATTTATGCAAATGCGAGGTGGGCATCGAGGGCGGGGTGCGAGGCAGTTGCAACAACAGGGTCAAGAGCTCAGTTGCTTTGGGCTCTGTGAAATCAGGATTTCCAGCACGGGGTTCAGGGCGAAGTTCAGGGTTTAGGAAACAGCAGGTTTTGAAGTCAGGGCTCAAGGTTCAAGAAGGATCTACAAGGAGAGAGCGTCGAAGTAAGGGTTGGATGTTCAAGACTTTGGGTTCCGAGCAGCTCAGCGGCGAGTGTGGCCATTCTGCGACGGCTTGTGGGGTTTCGGGTTACGAGCACAAAACCAGTGTTGGGTGTGCGGACACCTGTGTACGATACTGACACACAGAAACCCCGAATCGACAATGACAAACCGGCTGGAGCCTGGAAATGCAGCTCTACACGAAAGGGCCTCTAGTCTGAACCCCAAACCGGCCCGCGCATGGGATGCAGTTGAGCGCCCGAAGATGTGCGACTGGGGAAGAAGGTGGGCTCGTGAAGTTTCGAGTTCACAGGACACTAGAGTAGAGTATAATGGTACAGTACCCTGCCGGCAGGGCCATGCCTAGTCATGTGTTGCTGAGGCCCAGCGTGTCACAGTTATCCGTAGAAGATTAGAGGCCAGATGGTGGAATATAGATTACTCCTCACCTGATGTGCCCTCGAAGTTCCCATCCTCTGTTCAGCTCAGCTTGAACGGCGATACGGCCTGCAGTCGGCTGCTTGACCCGACTCCTGCAGGGAAAGCTACAGAATCTTCTTTCTATACACGTATGTGTCATACTTTGTAGATCAAATTGCATGCTAAGCCTTTACTTTGAGAAAGACCAAAAAAGCATAAACTCTTACTTTACTGTGGCCCCTAAACCCTAAACTCGAAACCCTAAACCCTCCCTACACCCAGTCCCGGATCATACGAGACGGAAAAGGGACGTTCAACAACAAAAAACCGATGCCCTAAACCCTCAAAGAGTCGAAACCCTTGTTCTACTGTGGTGTCCCATGGCGGCTTTGAGCACCTATGCACTGCAGCGGCCTCTTGAAGCTCGACTTTGACTTCAAAGTTTTGGGCTGTGGGCTTTAGGTGTAAGGGATGTTTGATGAAACTGTTTAGGGTTTAGAGTTCAGAGGCTTTTTGACGCATCGTTCGGAGGTTTAGGGCTTCAGGTCTAGGATGGATTGAAGACATTTCAGGGTGCAGGCTTCTCCTAAACTGGCTGTGGGCTTGCCGGTCAGCGTCAGTAGCTCAGTAGCTGTTGTCCCAACAGAGTGGAAAGCGAGTCAGTCCTCAAACGAAGGGCCGAAAGCAGCAGCTGCAATCAAGATCAGTCGTGGACGTGCCCATGCTAAACGATTCCTTTTCACCTGACATCCTACAACATAAGGGGGTTGCCGAAAATAGGGGACCCTAATTTAGCACCCTAAATAGCAGGATCCTTATTATAAGGACCCCCCAAATACGGTACGGTACCCCTTGTTTTCTGAAACTCCCTAATAAGCCTGCACACAAAGGAGGAGCGGCCTTTGTCACCCTCGACCCCGTGCCGCTGCGTCCGCCCTGCTCGGAGCGGTCGCGGGTGGAGGTTCCAGTGGCGGTCGGAGCAGGCCATTGACCCTAAACCCTAAACCCTAAACCCTAAACCCTAAACCCTAAACCCTAAACCCTAAACCCTAAACCGTGGGCCATGGGGACTGTGGAGGCGTTCAGGGCCAGGGTTGATGGGGTTTGGTGTTCAGATTTTCGGGCCTCGGTTGAAGAACGGCAGCTGAGGCAATGCTGGCAGTCATCAAGTCCGGTTTCAAAAGGTTTTTGGCGGCAGTTTTTGCATGTCTTTGTCTCATGAAGAATCATGGGAGTTCTCTCATCTCGTCTTCCGTTTCCTGGCGTTCAGCAAGTCCGGGTTCAACAAAGGTTTTGGCAGGGTGTCGGGTTCGGGATTTGAGGATCTGATGGATGGGGTTCCAGTCGGGCTTTGAGGTCGAGATTTAGGTCCTGGGAAAGTTCGTGGCTCATGCCCCATGCAGCGCTAGTACTCCATGCACTCCTTCATTACATTTCATTGCATGGCCTGAGAAAGAGGCTTTGCCGGTGGCAAAGATGGAAATGTTGAAAGATGTTGCAAGCGCCTGAAATCACAACGCTTCATTGAGCTCTCATGTCAGGATTGTTGGAAGGGTTGTACGTGTTGTCATTCATGTTTGCGGCCGGGCCACGTCGTCAATCGGATGAGTCATCTGTGTAATTCTCCTTCCGAGCCAGGCCAAAACCCTGTGGCTTTGGGCTTTACCAGGGACCTCAGCACTCCAGAGTCTACATGGGAGAATGGGGTACCTTATTTTGGTGGTCCTTATAATAAGGGACCTACTATTTAGGGTACTATATTAGGGCCCCCTATTTTCGGAAACTCCCACATGACTTCGGTTTAAGGCTCGAGGGCAATGACCTGTGCAGAGCATCATCTACTGCGGCTGCTTCTGTCCAGACCGTCCAGGTCCTTGCAGCTGCAGCTTTATGGAGCGTGCGACGGTGCAGGCAAGCTCGAGCGCGGGTTTTGAAGTTGCGGGCCTTAGCATTTCCGGTTTTGGGGCTTTTCGAGATCGATAAATCAAAGCGTCAGAAGGTGGGGTGGGAGCCAATTTTTAAGAGCCCGGGTGTACTGAAGAGATCCTAGGTACTTTCATCCCACCTTTGGAAGTCGTTGGGCTAAACAAATCTTAAGACATCGAAAACGAAGGCTAAATGGCACACCTATAAGATGCCTTGCAAGATGTTTCATGTGCAGCTTGTGTAAGGAGGTGTGCCGTTCGTTGCAATGCACCATGTTTATGGCGCTTGCAGCGGTTGAAGGTTGCGCAACCTAAGGGTTAGGCTACTGTATCGGTTTCAAGCCGAAAACCGTGTAAACCTTAGATCCTGAACCGAAAAAAGAGACCCAAAAAGCGAAGCAGAAGCCCCGAAGCGCCCACGGACTCCTAGCGAAGGCGCGGGGCACCGACTGCCACGCGGGTGGCCAATGCCGCCAAAGATGTGCAGGTTGCGGAGGACCTCGGAATTTTTATGGTGATAGAGAGAGACAGAGAGATAGAGAGGGCAAGCTTGATGTATGTAAGGATGTATGTGTAAGGGCTCGAACATGACGAAGCCAAGACGAAGCCTGTCAAGCTAAGAAGAGTCTCCCACTTGTGTGCTAAAGGCCCTATGTTTTCTGGCACTCTCAACTTATGTTCAGAAGGAGCTGTTGGTCGCCTGTCGAGATGGCGTCTTGGATCCTCCTGGGCCGATGAAGGTAATATATGTGCCTGATAATTAACTATACTATTTTGGGGGGTTCCTGGCTATAATTATAGAAAACCGTGTTACTGTTCTAAGCATCCTACATTATAGGCTGTAGGGTTCAGAGTGTAACTTAGGGTGAGCTTTGGTCCAATCTGAAGCCGGAGGGGACTCCTAACCTAGACTTAAAACGTAGGATACACGGTGTACAGGTCTCGGATCGGGCGTGCGGCGTGAGGGCGGGTTTGCAGACGTTGTCTTCTTGATGCTCACTCTTGGATCGATTCGGTATGGCCCAGTGTTGGCAGTCTTTTGTCACTCATACTCCCATATTCTTGGTGTTTACGCGTGTGTTCATGTGCATCGATTCGGACTTCATGGAGTGTGTGGTTTTCGCCATGATGACCATGGTTTGAGGCCTGCATGGATCATGGTCATGATCCTCCCAACAGTACTTGAACCGTACTTGCAAACTGGAGATGTGTGTTCTGGTGTTTCACTACTGGGCACATAGTTTTCTTTGAAGTTACGCTTCACCCCACAGACATACGCGACTGCTAAGCCTGCATTGCATTGGCTTGTATGTGTCATTGCTTTCAGCGTGGGATTTCATGAAAGCTGATGCTGCTGAAGCCGTGGCTCGGGCTTCGCATAGGGTTCAACCGTACCGCGTGCAGGGTTTGTTGCTGTTCATTGGGGGCCGGGAACGCGGCGCTTAGCCGCATTCTCTGCTGTCTGCTGTTGGAGCCACGGTTGCGATTCGTTGGGTATGCAGCTTTGGACCTTTGGGGTGAAGCATGTGGTTTTGGGTTTAGGCATTCGGGCCATTGGCTTTGGATTGCTCCGTATTCCGGTCTTGCCCAGAATCCATCCGTCAAGCTTTTGGGGCAAAGAACGAGACACTGACCCCAACCGAACTTCGAAGAGGAGTAACTTGAGAACAAGAGTCAAAGCAGTACCTCCATAAGCCTTGCATCAGCTACCCTGGCAAAAATGGCGCAGAGGAGAAACATAGCAGAGCCCTAAAGAGACGATTTCAAAGAGCAAAGCCACCCAAACGCAACCAGAGGGGCTGGAGTCACTCAGGCACGCCATGTAGCTCGAAGTACCCAAGCCCGAAGCCTTCAACCCCAACTTGCCACAAAGGCAAGTCCAACACGGCTTTGCAACTCCTGCGCGAGAAGCCTGAGCGCGTGCGGGAGGCTGACAGTTTTGAAGCGCAGTACTGATCGTGATTGAGCTAGTCATATCCTTCGCAGCAAAGAAGCCATTATCATGGTTGCCTAGTAATTACGACAACGAAAAGGATGAAGACGGTGATAACGGCAAAGATCACGACGACTACTACTTATTACGGTGAAAATGACGACGACAACGATCTACTATGATTATTGTAGTTATTGCTACTGCTACTGCTACTGCGACGACGAAGACTGCGACGACGACGACTACGACGACGACGACTACCACAACTACTACTACAACTACTACTACAACTACTACTACAACTACTACTATTACCACTAGTACTACTACTACTACTACTACGACGACTACTACTACCACTACTACCATTACTACTTCTACTACTACTACTACTACTACTACTACTACTACTATCACCTCTGCTACTACTCCTACTGGCTCCTGCTGCTACTCGTACTCCTACTCCTATTCCTACTGCTACTTCTACTTCTACTTCTGCTTCCACTTCTACTTCTACTTCCAATTCTATTTCTGCTTGCGCCACTACTACTCCTGCGGCTGCTGGCTGCTGCTGCTGCTTCTGGTACCACTGCCATTATTGCTACAGCCGCAACGGTCGACGACAATGTCAACTGTGGACGAAATCTTGCACCCAACCAGCAGCCATAGGGATGTGGGGGTTTCCGAAAATAAGGGACCCTAATGTAGTACCCCTAAATAATAGGATCCTTATTATAAGGACCCCAAAACAAGGTACCCCTTAATTTCGGAAAGTCCCATGTGCCTTGTAACACTTTGGAGGCGCTGCTACGCCCAGCCGCCCAAAGACAACTGACACCTTTGCAGTGGGCCTGCAGCCGGAACTTGCATCTGGGCTTGTATTGTAGGTTTCGGGCCTTAGGGTTCTATTGGGTTCTATTGGGTTTAGGAGTTTAGGAGTTTAAGGTTAATATAGGGTTTCAGGTTGAGGGATAGGGTTTAGGAGTCTGATATTGCTACGACTGAACTAGTGAGTCGCGTATGTTCGATCCTTCAGTAGCCACGAGTGCTGCTGGAGGGTTTACGCGCTGTCTTGTGGAATTTCCCGGCTGCTTTCAAGAGTCCTGATGCAAAAGGGTTACTATAGGGCTTCAGGGTGAGGGCCCGGGTCGCCGACTGATTGTTGGAGCTGCTACCAGGGCCACGGGTCCACAGAAGGAAGCGCAGATTCACTTCAACCCCCCAGCATGCCGAGACATGCATGCAAGCGAGAGGAGCAATTTCGATGAGAACGGTGTTGTCCATTGTGCGAAAATGCACTAGATTCGTGCGATGCATCAGGTCTCCAGGGACGGCCTAAACCCTAAACCCTAAACCGTTCGACAAAGACCCTCTCATCGCTCCTCAGGCTTCGCACGTTTTGCAACAACAAGAACATGAAGGATGTAGCTTTGTAGGCTTGCTGCGCTCTGAATGCGAAGCCTGCAGGGAGAAGCAGCATTCAACACCGCAGACCAGAATCTGTAGAAGCGGGGTAAGCTATGAACCGTGCGACGTGCCTCATTAGAGTAGAATCAGCTGTGAGGGCAGCTGTGGTCTCGTCGTCGTCGTCGTCGTCGTCACAGGAGTAACTTGACCATTTTTTGGTACGTAGCTCGTGGTTGTGGTAGTGGAACTGTAGCAACTGTAGCAGCAGGGGCAATTGGAATGAATCCTGGCCACCAGGTACGAGGTGGTGGAGCACTTGACACAGCACTTTATGGGAGACGTTCGCCCTTCCATCGACTACTGCCTCTTCAACGTCAGCCGCCGCGGCTACACCAGCACCTTTGGAATGAACGGGCCAACATTGTTGTCCTTGTGTGTGAACTCTTGATTCTTAAACCTCGCTGGGGCTGGAAGATGGGAATAGTGGCTCGGACCGGCTAGTAGTGCCGGGTTTTTTTGTCTTTCATAGTTGCATCATTTTAGCTTTAAGAGTTGGGGACCCTGTGCATATTTTCCGAGGCATCGCCGAGCTGCTGATCCAGCGCTTCCCGGCTGAGGCCGAATCCTCGGCTGGGCGCGATGTGGCCCCTACATGGCAAATGGGAGTTTCCGAAATTAAGGGGTACCTTATTTTGGGGTCCTTATAATAAGGATCCTACTATTTAGGGTGCTATATTAGGGTCCCCTCTTTTAGGAAACCCCCAAATGGTTTAGGCTTTTGGGCTGCTGTGTAGGTGTATGTATGCATGCATGCATGTTTTATATGTACACACATAGACGTTTGTGCTGTGTATGTATTTGTATATGTGTGTTTACATCGATATCTATTTCTGTATCCAAACCTGTCTATATCATTTCTATATCTACACCAATGCACATATATGCGTATCTAGATATCGATAGCGGTACCTACACATATATTCATGTATATGTAACGTATGCAAATGTATATGAACATGTAGATGTAGATGTATATGTATATATTCATATATTCATATATATATATATATATGTGGGGTTTGGAGGCGTGTCGACGGTTACGACGAGGTTCTCCGACTTTAGGGCTGCCGGTTTCCTCAGATCTTAGCCCTTGGCCGAAACTGACGGAGCCAAACTTCCGGGTTCAAGGAAACTGTTTAGGGTCTAACCTGAAGAAACCCTGGGCGTTTATTAGGGTTCTTAACTTACTATGAACCATATAGGGCCAGGGTTTCTTACTGAGGTTCCTACATTAGGTTTTTCGTTGTTGCATTCCAAAAAGGGTTTTTCGTGATACCGCAAGCCGCCGTAAGTTCTATACTTCCAGTGTCACATATTCTGTCATGGGCCCATTTGCAGGCATTACCCAGTAGGAGTCGACAGGAAGTTCGGCGAAAGAACCTTTCACTGGCAATGTCACGCAGCGGGCTGAGGGTTCATGGGTCACGGAAGGCCGGAACTCTAGTCCAGCCTGAGAACCCTAAACCTTGAACTCAGAGTGAGCTAAACCCCGAAACCCGAACCTTCAGCCCCCCCAAACGCTGCAAGCGCCCGTGTCTCAACTTCAAAGCTCAGGTCGAGGCCGCAAGGTCTGGGCAGGTGCACATCTTGGCTTTTTTTTTGCAAAACAAGCAACGGCAGCACTGCGACAAGAAGCAGCCCAGCTAAATCCCTAAACCCCTCAACCCCAAACCCCGAAACCCTACACCCTAGGCCCTAAACCCTAAACCCTGAAGGTGATGGTTGCCGGTATGAGACGAGCGTACAGCATTTGCGGTTTCGGGATGTATCAGTAGTGCAGCAGTGGTACCTTTTCGATGATAAGTGAAAGCAGTAGACAGTTCCGAAGTCCAGGGGTTTCAGACCCTCAGCCTGTGCACCCTGAACTCGGGCCACCGCAAGCCCTTAACCTCCGATGCCTACCCAAATCCCAATCCCTGAACCCCAGTCGCCAACCCTCTGCTTGCTGTGTGTCCTACCTCATGCCTCGCCTGAGCTGTCCGAGTGTGATAGACCGCAAACCCTAAAACTCAAAACCCTAAAACCCCGAACCCTAAAGCCCCAAACCCCAAGCCCGCAGGCCCCAGACCCCAACCCCCAAAGGTCCAAAACCCCCCAGTCCCCAAGCCCTGAACCTGGCTCCTGCGAGGCCGGGATTGTTCGGCTCCTCTCCGAGCGCTTTCCCAGTGCCGTCCGGGGCGTGGCCTCCGAGGCGCTGTACGAGGCGCCTATTCTGAGCCCAAAGAGACTGAGAGCCGAGTATGGAAACCCTACGTAATATTTCGAAGAGGGTTCTTGTTGGGTGATATTCTAGAAGTTTTTTTGGGCCTTGATAAGCGGTTCACCACTCGCCTGTGACCCAAAAAACCGCCTCACGTGTGACACTGCTCGCTTGTGACGCTGTATCTCACTCTGCCGATCATCATCATCATCGTCGTCATCATCAGCATGATCATCGTCATCATCGTCATCATCATCATCATCATCATCCTTATGCTCATCCTCATCCTCGTCGTCTCCATCATCACCACAGCCAACATGTTGATCACCACGGGTATGCTGCTTTTATTGCCCGGAAGGCTTAAATCTGCTTTGACCAGGCACAAAACGCACAAACCCTAAATCCTAAGCTGTCAACCCTACGCCCTACGCCCTAAGCCACAAACCCTAAGCCGGTCACAAAGCCTAAAGCGGAAGCCGCAAGCCCTAGTTGGGGAGAGATTTGAGGGTCATAAGTAGCTTTTGGGTTTAGGGTTTCAAAAAAGGGGTTTGGGTTTAGGGTTCGGGGTTAGTTAAGGGTGTGGGGTCGCAAGTGAGGCGGTGTTTTGGGTCAGAAGTGAGTCGGCGCCCTAAGTAGAGGAGGGCTTTTTTTGGTATTTTGTGATATACTTATATAGAGATCATCAAAAGCGATTCGACTATTGACTGTTCAGACCCTGTCATAACAACGGGGCAGGCTGGATGCAACAACCAGCAAGGATTCAGGACTTAGGGTGTCGGGGAATAGGGGTCGATGTTTCTTGTGGATGCTGGAGGCTGATTTTGAGTGGCTCGCCTGAATTGCCTCACGAGGCCTCGATAGCCGAAATCCTAAGCCTTTAAGGTCCTTTGAGTCAGCCGTCGCTGAGTTCAAAACCCCTAAGCCCTTGCAACAAAACCCTTTCCTAAAAGAATAAGCACCAGAACATCCTATCCGGCACAGGCCTGTGGAGCTGCTTCAGCACAAACTGCCAATCAGCTGCTCAGAGACTTCCCGGAGGACGGCAAAATTGCCCCAGGTTTGGGGCTCGACGAAAGACTAGTTCTTTGAGTTCGGGACATTTTCTTTCTGAAGCAATCAACCTGCAAAGGTTTGTGCAACCATAAACCTGCGCTCTCGTGGAGCCATGGCGCTGAAGCCTCAATCCTGGTGCAGGTGCAGTCGCAGCAGTACTGCAGAAGAAAGAGATGATGATGAGGGTGGTAATGATGATGGCGATGACGATGTGAATCGCACCACCACCCGCACCACGACCACCCACCACCACAATGGCGAGAAGTGGAAACTGGTACAGAAGTCGTCGCCTTAATCACATGTACTTCGTATAAACTATTAGCGATGCAAGGCAACGAACCCTCAACTCAGAAAAAATCAGCCCTGAACCCTAAACCCCAATCCCTAACACCATCAAGCTCAAACCCGCATGTTTTCAACGAGACCCAAAGAGGAAGCCCGGGCTTCGATGGACCCAAATGCAGCGGACCAGACCCCTCTGCTGCGAGCGTGCCAGACAGGTGTCTAGGCAGAATCTCTTGAACTCATATTATATGGGAAAAATTTTTTTCCCCTATAATCTCTTGAACTTTTTGTGAGGAAGAAGCCAAACGTTATAGGGTTTCAGGTTTGGTCTAGCATGCCTCGATCTTTTGAAAAGGGGACCCAAAGTCTAGAAATGTGAGTAGAACACCCTAAACCCTAAACCCAAAGTCCAGAAATATGAGTGTAATACCCCTAGACCCTAAATCCTAATCCCAAAGTCCAGAACTATGAGCATAATACCCCTAAGCCCCCTAAACCCTAAACCAAAGTCCAGAAATATGAGTGTAATACCCCTAAACCCTAGGCAAAAAAACCCAAAGTCCAGAAATATGAGTGTAAAGCTATCAACTAATCGAAGTTCCAAAGGCCTCCCCGCAGTCGCCAGGCTTGGTCGGGGTGGTGAGGCGCCTCCTGGAGCAGCTGCTCGGAACTTTGGGTGGATATGTATTTATATATATTTCCTTTCATATACATATATATACATATATATATATATATATATACATATGTATATATATATATATATGTATATACATCTCCTATATATATACACGTGTAGTTGTATAAATACTTAAATGTTAATATAAAGAAACATGTATAATACATATAGGTGCATATAGATATACATATACACAGACATACAGACAGGTAGATACATAGGTATATAGATATGGAGGTCTGAATCAGAAGACCTGGCAAGAGTGCTCCCTCTACCCCCCTCGCCCAAACGCTCGTGCAACAAAAAAGGCCCTTCGAAAGCTTGCTACTGCGGCGACGGCGCCGGTTAGGGCACCGTCTTCTAGGTTTTAAAGGAGCTTTTATATAGGTTGTTTGAAGGGTTACGGTTTCACCTGGTTGAGAAGAGGGGCATTGTAAACTAGAAGATGGTGCTTGCAGGGGGGTAGAATATGGTAGATATAGTACTGGTATGTTGGGACGACAAGGCCATGTCTATCATCGCTATGCATAGAAGCTGGAGGCGAAGGGCAGAATGCAGGGCATGTGCTTGAAGGCAGAGGGGGGGGGATCTTCTGAGAGAGTTTAAGATACGAGCTGGCGGCCCAGGTTCCCGGAGGCCAAGGGAGCGCTGGAGGTGAAAGACTCAGCTGGCATGACCCCTTTGGCCTGGGCCTGCGACAACGGTCACGATGCCATCGTGGAGATGGTGTTGCGAAGGTTCCCGAATCTGGCGGAAGTTGCCCCGATCGAGCTGGAGGGGGAGGAGGAGCTCGAGCAGAGCCCAGAGATGATGCAGCCGAAGAACCGCGAGAACATGGCCAAGAGCGGCTATCGCCTCGTGGGGAGCCACAGTGCTGTGAAGCAGTGCCGCTGGACTCGGAATGCCATCCTAGGCCAAGGCCAATGCTACAAGCACACTTTCTATGGGATCAACTCGCACCAGTGCATGGAAGCAACGCCATCTGTGGCCTGCGCAAACAAGTGCACCTTCTGCTGGCGGAATCACGAGAACCCGGTGGCCACCTCCTGGGATTTCAAGATGGACGACCCCGACTGGATCGTGCAGGAAAGCATCCGCATCCGAGCTGCAGGGGTCAGGAGCTGTGGGCAATGCAGACTAAAACCAAAGCACAAGAAGTGAAAGCACAGTTATTTCCGTGAGGGAACTGTTTGAAGCGGCCGCACTCCTGCAGTGTCGCTGGTCGAATAGACCTTGAGCCTTAAACTCCAGACCTCAGGCCTCAACTCATTAGAGCCACTTCCCAAAACCCGAACTCTAGGCCCTTAATCCGAGCACTTTCGACGACTCGATGAGGTCTGGCACCTTGCTGCGCCTATGCGTGCTGAGACCCGAGACTCCAAAATTCCTACTCTATGAGTGTACCATACCACTTCATCTTCTGTTCCATCATATCATATTATATGGTCCTCAGAAGGAGCCCTTTATTGAAGGGACATGCTCGCTGATCCTAAGGAGCACTGAGTACAGCGATCTACCTTGAACTACCATAACCTACTTTTTTATAGGTCCTTATTATAAACCCTAATATAGAATTCATAGGGACCCTACAAAAAAGTAGGTTTTGGTAGTTTAAGGTAGGCTTTCACGGCCGAGGCAACCACCTGGAACTCGTGGAGGAGGTCTCCGAGTCCCCGCACGCTGGCCCGACGGTTTAGGGCCTGGGGTTTAGGGTTTAGGATCTAGGGTTTAGGGTTTAGGATCTATAGGGTTCAGGGTTTAGGGTTTAGGATCTAGGATCTAGGGTTCAGGGTTTACGGCCGTGCTGAAAAAAGATTGCAGGTTGTAGTCTGGCTAGACTTGATTCCAGTAGCAAATCAGGGTTCAAGGTAGAGAGTGTCATGGGAATGCTGTCCGCAGCATTTAGGGGCTTCGAGTGTGCAGTGGTTTCGGACTTCTAGAGTTTGTGACAAGGGCGTGGGTTTCGGGGCTTGAGGGCTTTAGGAATTATATTGTTTCCGGGCTTTATGGGTTTTGGGGTTTGGGCTTGGCGTTGTGGGTCGACACTTCGGGGTTTTTCCGCCCGGAGCTTCGGGGTGTTTGGTCGTGTGCATGGGTGTGTGTTTTGCCCCCGCCGGGAGGCGTGGGGGGTGGGGGTTCGGGCATGTACTGCAAAACCTGATTAACATTATATACCGCCCAAAGGGATAATTGCTGAACATAACTCATGTTCTGTGACTAAGCCCTACACCTTGAAGAGTAAACTTGTAAAGTTAGAGCCTTAGCCCTGGTTTTTTAAGTGCTCAGACCTAGGCACGCGCTTCCTGATCGAGTCCTCGCTGCGCGTTCGGTGCGCCATGTGGCTCTGTCCCTGGTGGGGGAGCCGGCATCTTGCCTTGATAACACTACCTTATTCGTGTACCAGAACCATGTTCATGGTTCTTTGTTTATAAGGTCCCTATTGTGAACAAGAAGGTATGACGTGTATGTATATATATATATATGTGTGTATATGTGTGTATATATATATACACACACACTTACATACACTGCTGATGCAGGATTGAGCTGGGGTTCACAAATATATATATATATATATATATTTATACTTATATTTATATATATATATATACAAATATGTCTGTACATGTGTCGCAATATATATATATATATACATATAACCACCTTACCGAAATCGAAAAGTGTTTTCCCAGACGTGGAGTTTTGGTTTTGACGCAGCAGCTCCCAACACATCGTCGCCGTTTTACTGAGTAATGGAGTCTGGAAGTCCCACTGCCATTGAGAGTTCGGGCTTTAAAAGGGTCGGTTGATTTAGATTCAACAATAAGGGTCAGGTTGTAGAAGGGGGTAGTAAGTAGTAGTGGGGGCCCTGGGATTCAGGATTTTGCCTTCGGGGGATTTGGGATGGAGTGTTGCGGAGGCCGAAGCCGTAGTTCGAAACCCTCCATGAGGTTTTTTGAGGCTTCTAGGACTTGATGACTGCTTTAGTTCGCCAGTGCCGCGAACGTTCATTCCAGGACCCTTTGACGACGCGCCTAGAATTCGCCCTTATTCCAGCATTTTTCTTGATGTGTCGTGCGGGACCCCTCAGGTGCTGTACCCGAAAGTGGCGGAGTTCGTGTCGTCGCTGCACAAGCGCCGCATCTCCACTTTCTTCGTGACCAACGGACAGTTTCCTGGCTAAAAATTGAACATTGGAAAGTCTTGCTTGCACCCCGTTTCTTTTTCCGTTTCTCTCTCCATCTCTCTCTCTCTCTGTCTCTGTCTCTCTTTCTCTCTCCCTCCTCTCTGTTTGTCTCTCTGGCTCGCGCTTGAAACCGCTGCCCCTCCCCACGAAGCCCTAAACTTTCTCCGTCCCCCGAATGTCTTGGGCCAGATTCCCGGACCAACTCGCGGAGCTCCCCTGGGTGACACAGCTGCATCTCGGCATGAAACTCTGGGTTTAGTCCGCTTCGGCTCCAATTTGAAACGCGTGGGCGGCGTTCTGCACAAGCTATGCAGGTAAGTCTTTAAGATTCACATGGGCGGTGCACCATGCAGGCGTCACTTCATACCGCCACGATAGCGCACCAAGCACGTGGCATGTTAGTCGCTGCCGCCCGTCCAAAGTCTATGGCTGCCCATTGTGTGGAGTGGCCCCTCTTGTAATTAGAAAGACTGCATGCATACATCCTCCTGAACATGTGACAATGAAAGTTGCATGTTTTCAATTAAGTGACATGCAGTTCAAAAGTGCTGCCGGCCACGTCCACTGTTCTGTTTTCCTGGGTTTCAATGCTTGGTGTCAGATTCTTTCTTGGAGAGTCTTAAGGGTGCCGGCCCAGGTACGTCTCTTTGGACGCACCAGATGCCACAACCTTGCGGGATGTCGGTCGTCCCCTTTTCCGAGACTACTGGGATCGTCTGCGAAGGTCTCTAGCTGTTCTGCGCGAAAAGCATCCGAAACAGAGGACACCGCGTCTCATGGTGATACAGTCGTTGTAGTCAGCATGTCATCGAAGTCACTACCACCCCCCGTCATCAGAAGCATTGGGTTCATGATCATGATCACCACAATGAATATTAGCAGGGTCTCCATCACTGCTGCCTCGATATCATGGCCGTAGTGAGGTTGGTTCAGCACCCTCTGCAAGCTCGCATCCGATGTATTCGGTTGAGCGCTTACCCGATTGACCTTTCGATGGTGCCCCCCGCGAGGACGGTCTGTCGAATGACAGTGCTCAAAGGCGTGGCTGAGAACGATGAGGCCTGTCAAGGCTATGCCGACCTGATCAACATCTCGCAGTGCGATTTCGTCGAGATCAAAGCTGCGACATATTCACCCGTGTGGGACAAGCGCAACTCTGGACTCTCGCGGGACAGTATACCGAGGCACGACGATGTGCTGCAGCTTGCTCGCCTTTTGGTCTCCAAATTGCCCATGCACCTCGGACCCAGTTGGGGGTTTCCAAAACTAGGGGACCCTAATATAGTACCCTAAATAATAGGATGCTTCTTACAAGGACCCCCAAAATAAGGTACCCTAATTTTAGGAAACTCCCAGTTGGGCACCCGTGTCGATTTCAGCCTTGATGCCAGAGGCCGCTCAAGTCTACGCAGTGACTTGGCCGTGGGGCCTCACAGTCGTGTATCGCTGCACTACCAGTAGCATGAGCTGCCCTAAAGCCTAAACCTGGGTCATTGAAACTTGTTGGATACAATTTTACATTTTTTTATAAGAAAACCCAATGGGGATTCAACATGATCATTATTTTAGTATAGCCCCAACAGGGAACCAGTAAACCCTCAGAGTTCAAGACCCCCCAAACCCAGAAATCTAAACTAGCAAGCCGGAAACTCGAAAGGCCTGACTTTAGAACGCCAGAAGCCACAACACACAGGTATGGGATTGCGGCAGAGCATGAGCATAGCTTCTGCATCCTTCTCGGGCGTCGGGACCGCTTTTATGAGCCTAGGCAGCCATGTTGTACCCATTTCCCCATTTAAACTTAGGGCTTAGGGTTAACGGTTAACGTTTAGGTTGATGACGCAGGTACCTCTGAGTAACTATCAAAAGAGAGTGAGTAGTTCCCGCTTGCTGGCAGGCTTCCCGACCCTCGCAAGCAATGTAGGGGCCTAAATAATCACCAAAACTAGCGGGGGGGTTCCTTATTATAACTATAGCATAATGGGCTCCAAAAGCCCTCTAACTGAAAGGGAAAAATTAAGGCCCCTATATTAAGGGTTCAGGGCGCCGTGGCTTGAAAAGTTTCTTGGCCGAGGGAGACCTGAGTTACGATGCCTCCAAGGAGCCATTTGGCGCGAGGTGGAGGACCTGGATCGATTTCGACAAGCTTCCGGGCTTCAGAGTCGAGCTCGAAGGGTTTAGAGTTTAGGGTTTTTGCTATCACTTGGGGAAGTTTGGGGGGGTTGAAGCTTTCCGGGTTCAGAAATGGTTCGGGATTTAGGGGAAAGAGTGCAGCATCTGCAGGGCTTAGGGTTGCTCCATAGCTGCTGTCTTAGTGTTAGCTTTACAATGGCTTTAGGGTTTAGGGTTGAGGGTATGCAACAGGGTATAATGGCCAGGGCGTAATGGGCTGGCTGCATAGCTTTCTTCTTCTTCTGTCATGCTTTTCTATGGTAGGGCTACTACTTCCTACTAGGTTGTGCAAGCTTTGTCTTGGGACCTTCTCCAGTCATGGTCTCGTTTTGGGGTCTATGATACGGCAGAGGCAAAAATACGAAGAGGGCAGAGCTCACGTGCAGGTCTGATTCTTGAGACTTCTGTAGCAATCCTCGTCCTTCTCCGAGCGTTTGTCCCTCAAAATCCGCAGAAGTCTTGCACACTAAACCTGCAACCCTGGGTCATAATACCGGGGCTTGATTGCTGAATAGTCGGAGTGGGATTCTGGAGTATATTCTGCTATAGTTACCGACGGTTTATCAGGCATGCGTTTCCAGAAACGATGACAAAACCCTGCAACAACGGCCGCACCTGCAGTTCGATCAGTAAGTGCCTGTACTTGGAGACTCATGGCGTTCTTAAGGGCTGCAGTTGAGATTATATTTGCCCTGAAAAAGACTTGGGCGTACTCTATCCCTGACCATTTTTTGCAACCCGGCACGGTTCCGTTTCAAGACCGAAGATGATTGAGAAGGCGCTGCAGACCTTCATCACAAACAAGAAGGACCGGAAACCCAAGCCGCCACGAGAACGTAAGAATCACAGCCGTAAGCCCTAACCCTAAACCCTAAACCCTAAACCCTAAACCCTAAACCCTAAACCCTAAACCCTAAACCCCTAAACCCTAGCGAGGTTCGCCGATGCCGCCGAGAAAGGAGAGACCCTGGACACAACAGACTTTGCCGCTGAGACCCCCCCTTGGGCACTGCATCAAGGTACATCGAACCGGCACCTCGCTAGAAGAGCTTAATAGGGTTTAGGGTTTAGGGTTTCTGTTGCGACCGTTGCAAGGGTTTCTGTTGCAAAAGGGTTTAGGGTTAAGGGCTAGCAGAGCTTAATAGGGGTTTTGTATACGTGTTGTCGATTACAGGGGTCGTAGTGGTTCCAAAGGGTTTGGGGGCTGGAGGCTTAGCGTTTGGAGTTCGAGGTTAAATGTAGGGGCCTTCATAGTTTTAATGGGGTTTTGGGGCCCATTAGACTACATTTACAATAAGGAACCCCCAAACAAAATAGGTAATTATTTAGGCCCCTATGTTTTTTTCAGTCTGGGGCTTGGGGGGTGGATTGAGGCCGTTCGGGGGTCGAGCTTAGGCTTAGATCCTTCAGGGCAGGGCTCTGGGGCCTAGGGGTTTTGGTTCTGGGGTTCAGGGTTTAGGGTTTTTAGGGTTTAGGGTTTTGAGGGTTTAGGGTTTTAGGGTTTAGGGTTGTCTTGTGGGCTTTCCCGGCTGTTTGCGAGAGTCCTGGATGCCAAAAGGGTTTAGGGTTGAGGGTTGGCAAGGCATGTGACGGATCCTTTAGCTGGCTCTGCTTAGCCATCAGGGTTTTGGGGGTTCTGTCGGCTTCTCCGCATTCCCTTCAGACATCCATAAATTTGAGGCATCTATAAACTAAGACACAAACGCCCAAACCCCACACCGTAAGAAAGGGGGCCTTGATCATTAGAACAGAGTTTGGGGACATGTTCTAGCCCCGGCCACCAGGAGAGAGTGTTACTCACGATTCAGGCTTCCAGATTCGGCCTGGAAACACCCAAGCCCCACTCCTTCACCCTCGACGCTGCGCTGCATGGCTATAAAACCCTAAACCCAATACCCGAAGGACCCCACTTTGCGAAGGTACGATGGGAAGATCGGGTTCGATCCGCAGGAGGTGCGCCGCTTTCGGCGTCCGATGCCTCGCTTCTTGGAAAGCTCTTGGCAACTATCTCCTTTATCGTTACATGGTAGTTTACAATCTTGCACGAATATATAACGCCGGCTAAGACTTGTGACAATGTTCATCTTTCTGAGCAGCTCCACCATGCCCCAATGTTCACTTGTGCGACCTTTACAGGGGTTTCGTATCCCTGCAATATTGGACTACAGAGGCTTTTGGATAGTCTATAGCCTTAGCAAGACGCTTCGACTTAACTGACTGGTTGAGTGTGTGTGTTTCCCCGGCCCTGGGTCAGATGTTAGGATGTGGCTGTTGTGTGCTTTTGGCTGTTCAGGTGTTGGTTCCATGTCGTCAAAAGTTTCAGCAGGTTTCAGATTTCAGGCGGGCATGAGGGCAACCCATCCTCAGAAAAAAGTACGCCGGAGGATGGGTTCTCAGTTATGGTTTGTACTTTGCATCATCGGTTCGAGGGCTTAGGGTTCTGATTCGCGGTCTCTCTGGATTCGGGTGCGTATGGTTGGCCACGCCGGCCAGGCCAAGTGATCGAATATGCGCAATGCAGTTTCGAGTTCAGATTCCAAGCTCTAGGTTCACGGCTTCGGGTCAAGCGAAATCCCATAAACCTTCTCGCCCTGTGACCCAAACTTGTCGTGCTTGCCGCGCCCGGTGTGCGATAAGCTACGAACTAAAACCTCGCAGCCCAAAGGCCCTGCTAAGTCCCCCTTAGCTTAAGGCCTCAGATGAACATCCGAAGAGTCAGGACTGACTCGACGTGAGAAGAAGAAGCTGTGGCCCAAACACAAGATGATGGTGGACGTGGCCGTCCTCACGCCACAGGAACTTCGGGTTTCAGGGAGCATGAGCAGTATGTGCAAAAAATTTTCTGTAGTCGCAACAGCCGACTACTTTAGGTTATGACCACAAGTTCCGGAAACAGCTCATATCATACGCACCATTTCCGAGCATCCGTCTCGGCACTCCCGCAACGTGTCCAGCATAGATTCCTGTAAAACGGCTGAACTCCCGAATCCTTAAACCCTAAACCCTAAACCTCCTATATGAGGTTTTTTTTAAGTAGGAGGCAAAAAACCTCATATATACCGACCACAGGAAGGGCTCGACGAGGCCGCGCAAGCCCAGGAGCTCTTAAAGCAGCCGCACGTCCGCAGCGTCACCCTCTTCGAGCCCGTGGGCACCGGGCACGACGAAGAAAGGGTCGGGGTGCGTTACGTGGCCGGTGACCCCGACCTGAACATCACGTGACTTGGGCCTTGTTGGTGAGGTATTTTCCACGTTTCGTTGTTCCGGCCCGTGGTGTTCTGCAGCGATGAAATTCGGTAGGCCGGAGGGAACAACCGAGGTACAAAGAGGCTGGACTGGCTTTCAACGTGGACCTGAAAAGGCGCCTGAGTCGGCTGAGCAAGAGCCAGGGTGGCATACATGAGCCCTGGATGTTCCTTCCGAATCATTTTCCGTTGCTACCACTATAATATACAGGAAAAACTTAGAACAACCCTTATGAGCCCGCCGCAAAGCCCAGGAGCGGGAGCGCATCTGTCAGCTGGTGCAGCCGGGAGAGCGCGTTCTCGTTCCTCTGATGTTCTTAGAACCATGTTTGCCTCTTGATACAAGGTTTTTACATCCGTAAACCCCAAGTTCATACTCCAGTGACGACCCGCTATATGGGCTTGTCCTTGAAGTACACCCTGAACAAGAGCTAAACCTATGGTGGCTTCAGCCTCAGCCGTCAATCTGCAGTATGCAAACCACGCCGGTCTGATCTGAGTAATTGTTCGAACTAAGGGGCTGCTGGGTCTGCAGACATGGGTTCCTAAGCCCTGGTTGCAGCAACACCAAGTCCTAAACTCTTAAATTGTGAGGCTAATGAGCCCCGCACACAAAGCAAACACACCCAGCAAGCCTTGAGCACTGTGCTCAAGCCGTGTTTGCTTTCACCTAGCCTCGAAGCTTTAATCAACCCGAACCCCAGCATTTCGGAACCCTACTAAAATACAACCCTCCAGAATTACCTTCAGACTCCTCAACATAGTGATAGTAGTCTATACCCCAAAACCTCATTCAATTTATTCGGGTCCCGCAATTCCGACACGCTTAACAGTACAGGCCCCAAGCCTTCCTTACCCTCTACAACCTTGACAGGGTTATTTTAAGTTCGTATTTCTTTTGGTTACTTGGAAAGGGGTATTGGCGCATCTTATACCACACTTATAACTTGTGATAAGAGTAATAGGAACCCTAAGGAAACACAGTACGTTTTTTGGAGCAACAAGTAGCTAACACTGCTACGTGATGTCACCAGGGCTCTATACGCCATCAACCACAACCCAGTCCCAACGAGTTAGAGGACACGATAGTTTCCGGAAAAGTGCTTTCACAACGCTTATCAATGCTTCTAAATCACACCCTTAGATCCTAAATGCTAATAAACCTGGCCTGGCTTGTCCCAGTTGTGAGTGCTGAGACCTCCTTGGACCCGAAAGATTCTCCAAGAAACCCGAAAACCGAAATCCACAACCCGATACCCGCAAGGCAAACAAAGCAACCTAGACCCTAAACCCTAAACCCTAAACCCTAAACCCTAAACCCTAAACCGTAAACCCTAAACCCTAAACCCTAAACCCTAAACCCTAAACCTGAACAGTGTCTTCCGGAGAGCCTCAGAGAGACTTGCGCTT